AGTAATCCGCCGCTGGCGCCCGACCAATAGGAGCGATACTCCTCCTCCGACAAGCCGAGCGTATCACGTAGCGAATCCTTCGCGCGACCCTCCACTAAACCACGATAGAAGACCTTCCTAGGCCGTGAATGGTCACTGGACCGGGGAATGGCCTTCAAGGCCAACCGACACTCGCGGAGGAAATCCGACTCACCCCGGGGTTTACAACGGCGCTCAACCCGCGAGAGGGGGGACTGATGGTAAGGCTAGGGAAGGCGTCCCTAACAATCCCCCTCCAGAATCGGATCTCGGTCAATGCTAGTCAATGCGCGGCGTGCCTCGAGAAGGTGATGTGACTGCAAACCCAGCACCCCATGACACGGACGTTTGGTGCAGACTCGTCTGTCGACCCTGTTCACGCGTCCCTCCATAAAATGGAGGATAGCGATCGCTCGAGCGCCTTCCTACGGTCTTTACAGAGAGGAAGTACGGACAATCGATAAAGAATCAGGGGAAAATGTATGTAAAACACACCTCCGCCCAGCCCTACAGGGACAACCGCCGTCGATTCCAAGTCTGACCGGCAGAATCGATCTTTGCACGTACTTCAGACCAATTCTTCTCCAGCTGGAGGTCGGGCCCAAACCACACTCCAAGAATGCGGACAGGACCGTCCGTCCAACCGAAGCGGCCCGGAAGATCGACCCCCTTCCAGGCACCTAACCGCAAGCCGGACGACTTGTCGCGGTTTATCTTGGCCCCTGTCACCTTCTCGTACCGATCAAGCGCCTTCTGTACCGCCTCAATGTCGCTGCGGGACGACACGAAAGCAGATACATCATCGGCGTACGCGGAAACCCTGGCTCGAGACCCTCCAGGCACGGCAATTCCACGTAGGGCCGGACTGCCGGTCTCGTCCTTCAGCCGGCGAAGGAGAGGCTCCAACGCCAAAGCATAAAGGAGAGGCGACAGCGGACAACCCTGACGAACCGACCTAGACAGCACGAACGCGTCCGACAACCTTCCGTTCACCTGTACCACAGCACTGGGGGAGCGATACAGGAGGCTAATCCAGCGGCAGAAGTTGGGTGCGAGGAGGTGGACGTATGGGGTGGTGTGTCCAGTTTTTAGGGATGAGGTGGAGGGAGAGGGGGATATAGCACGGGAATGGGGGAAAGGGAAGCTCCTACTGCTGGGAGAGTCAGACGCTCTAATTGGTGACGCGGGGAAGGAGCGCCGCCTGGTTATGTCCACGCTGCGCTCCGCCCTGCTACGACCACTTTCTTGGCTTTCTTCTTCCTCCTCCTCCTCTCTGCACCTCTTCAGGGAGGTAGCACGAGGTGGAGGCGCGCTCTCCACTTCCATGGGCACCTCCTCTTGTTACTTTTGTTGATGTTTCTTTTGAAGGAGTTTCTCCTCTTCTTTATGCTGACTCTGTTGCTGCTGTTGTTTCAGCTGCTGTTTTTGGGGGACTTTCTCCTCCTCCTCTTTGTGCTGTTTCTGTTTCTGCTGCTGCTTCTGCTTCCGCTCTTGCTGGTGTTTCTCCTCCGGCATCAGCGGTTTCTGCTGCTTTTGTTGTTGTTGTTGCTTCGGTTTTTCCGAAGCTTTCTCCTTCTGGGGGGGGGGGAGACGGGACGTTTGAAGGCTTCCGCCCTTTGGAAACCTCCTTCCAGTCTCCACTTTTGGAAGTCCCTTCCCCAGGTTGAGATGCTGCCACTGCTGCTGCTTCCTCCGCCACAACCGGTCGTGCTGGAGGTTAAACTGTTGGAGGTTGTACTGCTTTTTTCCCGAAGCACGCCTTTGCCATATGCCCCAAGACTCCACAAGCTCAACAGTATGGCTTACGTCCCTCCAAGACCACCAGCATTCTCCTTGTACGTCATGTCAGAATATTAGGCATGTCGCGGAAATTATCCCGGTCTATTGTTATAAACACGTCCATATCCCCGGTAGCACTACCCGCCTTGCTCCTAAGGACCTCCACGCTGTTGACCTCCCCAAATCTCGTAAAAAATGCCCCCATCCTGTCTGGGCATATATCTATCGGCCCCCATGCACAGTCACCTTCGTCTTTCGGGTGCCTAGATACTCCGTTTGAAGACGTAGAGATTTGTTATTCAGGATTTTCCCGGCCAGCTCTTTCGCCTTCTGTTCGTTTTGCAAAAGAATGTCCCACAAGGCATTTGTCCTCCTTGCCAGGACCTTTGGGCATATTTTGAGAGTTTTTAGACTCTCCTCCATTGTGTCCCTGCTGACACCAATGAGCTTCCGAGTCTTAATATCGGAAGTCAGCAAGGATATTGTTCTTGTTTTAACTGCTTCAAAAGCCTCCTCTATAGTTAGAAAGTCATTTCCGTCAAAGGAGCTTTCGAATTTTTGTTTTTGGCTTACATAGTACGCCGAATCTTTCAAAGTTGGCCTATTGTTGGCCCAGGCATTCTTCTCCCCTGACCCCGTCGGTGATATGTCAGGCGAAGACATGATTATGTTTGCGTCGTCGGTCATTTTGACCGCGACCAAACGAACGTTTAGTCTTTTATGCTCTTAAAATTGTTTAGACGAACATGAAAAGAAAAGAAAAAACGGAAGCACAAAACAAGGGCAACAAAAAGATAATTCAAACAAATAAATACAATACAAACAAAAACAGTGGGGAGGGTAAAAAAATAGCAGAGAGGAAAAAAATCAAATAAAAAGCAAACAAATCAAAAGCAAATAAAAAGCAAACAAATCTAGCAAAACTAAACTTGGAAAAGGTTTTTAGCAAAATAAAAATCAAAAAATTAACCGTTTGTCCAATTGATTTTCACACCAAATTAGATCAATCAACAACAATCCTCCCAAACTGGGAGGGGCGTATACTACATATAACTCGTGAGCGAGTCAGAATGACTTATTTCCCTTTATAGTCGACCAATAGAAGTTTGACCAATCAGAAGCCGCACAACACTGTATTCGTCGTGTATAAAGGCGTCCATCTTGTTTCCTCTACCGGAAGGACCAAAGTCGACCAGGAGAAGGATGAACTACACTCTGCTGTGATATGCACTGCGAACCTCCACTACGCTTTCCTACTGTCTCCGAAATATTCACTGCCAACCTCTGGATTCTATACTCGAGGATCACCGTCATGAAAATGTCTAACAAAGGCATCTTTCACTATCCCAATCCGCCTTCACATTTCGGTGTTGCATTTTCCACCCGATGTTAAAAAAAATATCATGATATTTAAATTTACGTACTTTCTTCAGTATCTGTCTATATTTCTGAACTGAGGTATTATGTAAAAACTTTCACATTTATAATCTTTCGGCTTAAGGAAATCGAAAAGAAAAGACTAAACATAAATTGCCAGAAGAGAGAATGCGTGGCTGTCAGCAAAAGGAACGCTCAAATATACAAATTTCAAATTGATGACAAAATGAAACAAGTACATTATTTACATTATTCAGACTATTGTACTCATCTTTGTCTATTTATTACAACGTTTCGGCTGTTGTACGCTCCGGACTTCTTCAGGTGGTTGGAATGAAAAGGGTTCAGTTCGACATTCCAACCACCTGAAGTATGTGAAAATTTTAATCAAATATGTTACAAATTTGGTTATATTTTCCCCCAAAATGTTTAATTAATTTTCCTTGGCGCTACTACATTTCATAGCAAAATAGAGAAATAGTTTTATTTACTATTATAGTCCTTAATAAGCACACCTAATGGACGTGAGGATAACCTTATCACAGTTAATAGTTTGTTCTTGCTTCCCTTGGCCATTAATAATTTTATTCTATTTTCTGTCTGAACGTCTAACTTGGGGAAATTTATGAATCCATCCTTTCTCCTACCACCTATGGGTTAAATTGTAAATAGTAGCATATGTAAAAATCATTAGCAAGCATAGAAATGAATACAATATGGGAACCAGTAATAAGGAGTGCCAGAGAAAAGTGATAATAACAACAAAACTAGCAATATGAGCTCTGGTAAAAACGTGCAACGATAACAGCAAAAATTGCAATATGAGTGCTGGTAAAAAATGGTTGCTGAAGAAATTAATTTCATAATACCGAGATATTCATACACAGATGTCCTCAAAGACAAATGGCACAGTGGATAAAAGCGTTGGTTAGATCCAGTGACGGGTCCTAAAGAGTGTGATTTCAATACCTGGTTAAGGCAGTGGAGAACTTGGATACCTGGTAACTGACATCCGTTAAACATGGCACGTGGAACTAGAACAGTCTACCTCAGTGAGCGAAATAAAGGGTATACTTTGACATTCCAACCAACCATCGGAGCGTACAACGGCCGAAACTTTGTAATAAACATGGCGACAAAGATGAGGACAGTAGTCCGAATAATGAAGATAGTGTACATAATACCTGATCTCAGAAATATAAACAGATACTGTAAAAACCATTGTTATATCCCAAAAAGTTTTGTAAGTCAATATTGGGTCGCAAAATAAAAATAATTATTCATACACTCTCAAAAATATGTCTCGGTTTTAGATTAACCACAAAAGCTTTATAAGACGAAAAAATAAAAAAAAAAAAAAAATGCGATTCAAGATTATTTCTGTCTGAATCTGCTTTGAGTACAGTGACCAATCATTCTTATTTGTTGAGTTGCGTCCTCATAGATTCAGTCAGTTATATGCCATGCGTGATATACGATTAGGCGATCATGTATCTTTCGATACATAACTAAAAAGGCAGATTTTTTCCCGCAGTAGATTGTCATTTCTTTCTGCGGTAGATCCTGGTATTTACCTATAGCTGGGCGGGAGAAAAAAATTCATACCTTTCCCCAGGGTATTAGCACATAAATGAATGTAAGGGATTCAACTGTAAATCGAACTCTGCTCTCCGATTCTTTAATCCGAGCCGCTATCCATTACTCCACCGTAGCTTACAGACCTGAAAAATCATCCCTCTATGATATTATTCATGTGACAACTCAGCAGATAAGACTGGGAATGTGCTTTATTATATTCTTCTATCAGTTCTGTACTCTTGGAGAAAATGTCATTTTTCATGCTTCATGGCCGAGTAAATTCTGACATTTAATCGAAAAGTGGAAGAAAAAAAAAAAAAAAACATGAGTTTTCTTACGTTAAATTATAAACCGGAAAAATAATTATGGAAAAATTTGAAGAACATCGATTCATGTCGGAAAATCCTTTTCACGTATAAAATATATACGCACACAATTTCACTCTATTCCAATGTATTCATATCTATCTATCTATCTATCTATCTATCTATCTATCTATCTGATTCAGTCTGTTCATATCTATCTAAAGTTGTTCATTTATATCTAAGTCAATCTGATCATATCTATCTCAATATGTTAATATCTATCTATATAACTGTATATATCGTAACCTATTCATATCTATCTAAATAACTATCTATTTATATAATTATCTATATATTTCATTCTGTTCATATCTCTCCCTATCTGTTCATAGTTATCTGAATATGTTAATATCTATCTTTATATGCATATATATATATATATATATATATATATATATATATATATATATATATATATATATATATTTTATATATATTTATATATATATATATTAATCTTTTTCATATATATATATATATCACAGTTTCTTCATTTCTATACATCTATCTCAATGTGTTCATATCTATCTATCTATCTATCTATCTATCTATCTATCTATCTATGTCTATCTGTTCATATCTATCTATCGGTTCATATCTATCTATTTATCTCAATATGTACATAGCTGTCTCAATCTGTAAATATCTATCTATCTATCTATCTATCTATCTATCTATCTATCTATCTATCTATCTATCTATTTATCACGTTTTAATGTCCTTCTTTTGCAGGCCTTACATAAAATCAGTATATGAACGGCAAAAACATCCATTGAGAAAATGTATGGAAATCTTTTAACACTTCAATAAAAAATATCAGGACGTTCTATTAATTTCCTATTAACACTTTTGTCATGTCGTCTGCGTTTTTCAATGTATTTGAATGACGGATATTTCCTACTATACCCTCCTCCAGGCGGCTGTGGAGAACTTGTCTCAAACACAATAAACTACGTATTTCTCTGTGTCTAGTGATTTAGCTTTTCTCAAATATTTGCTTTCAATCTTTAGGAACATACTACAACCTTCTCACAATCAATAGAACAGAATATATATATATATATATATATATATATATATATATATATATATATATATATATATATATGTATATATATATATATATATATATATATATATATATATATACATATATATACATATACATATATATATATATAAATGCCTATATATACATATATATATACATATGTATATACATATATATATATACATGTGCATATACACACACACACATATATATATAAATATATATACATACACACACACACATATATATATATATATATATATATATATATATATATATATATATATATATATTATTTACATTATTCGGGCTATTGTCCTCATCTTTTTCGCCATATTTATCACAACGTTTCGGCCGTTGTACGCTCCGGCCTTCTTTAGTTGCTTGGAATGGTTGCTGAAAACATTAGATTTATAATACCCAGAAATTCATACCCAGATGTCCTCTAGGGCACATGGCACAGTGGATAAAGGCGTTGGTTAGATCCAGAGTGAGTTCAATACCCGGTTATTGAGAACTTTCAGAGGGAAATTAACAGGAGATAACGGACATACATCAAACATGGCACGTGGAACTAGAACAGTCTACCCAAGTGTGCGAAATAAAGTGTTCAGTTCGACATTCCTACCAGAAGGAGGTTACAACGGCTGAAACGTTGTGATAAATATGGCGAAGATGAGGACAATAGTCCGAATAATGTAAATAATGAACCTCATCTCAGAAATATAGACATATATATATATATATATATATATATATATATATATATATATATATATAAAGGAATGGATTTTCATTTATTAATAGCATTTATTAATACTACATATTTGAGGAGATATTATATTTATGCATTAAACAGTATGTTTATTTATTTTTGACGACCGGTCTGAATATTTGAGAAAAATAAAAAAAATATACAATCTCCGGAAATATACAAAATTGGGTTTCCCCAGGGGAAAACCATCATCTATCTGACGTGCTTTGACCTCACGGCTAAAGAGGACCTGAAGACTAGGAAAAATCAGAAAAGTAGTTTTTTAAACACAGATTTTCCCCGATTCTCGAAATGTAAAGCTCTGCTTAGTTTCGTATCTTTACGTAAACACAATAATTTTTAGGGATGTATTTTTCATTTATTAATTCGACATCATTTATTACTTAAACATTATTTTTACTGGATACCTATATTTGAGTAGATGCATTTTTTATTCATTAAACTGTATATTTATTTGTTAATCTCCACCGACCTGAATGTTCGTGAAATCTTATTATAAAAACATGCGCTCTCCGGAAGATATATGTATGTGAGAGCGTGTAACTTACTCTTTTTGAGTAGTTACACTCTTCTCTGTCAAAGGAAAGAGGGGCAACTGAGGAAAATAATACTGAAGAGTGCGCCCAGCCCTGAGGAACAGCTCCCCGAGACCGCACCCTTCGATTGCGCCAGAGGAAGGGGTCCGTACTCGCCACGAGGCCAGCGCAACCCACGGTTGCGGGGACGGAGGGGAAATTTTATTTCTGTCCCGGTTTTACACGCTTAGGACCCCACCTAAAAGTTGACCTTGTGTCACATCTCGACCTAGTACCAGGACAGAGTAAATACTGTGTATGTGTGGGTGTGTACATATATATATATATATATATATATATATATATATATATATATATATATATATATATATATATATATATATATATGTACGTCCCTAGCATGATTGATAGGTGGCTTTTAATCTTTTTCAAAATCAAGTTTTGAACGTATTCAGTTATCGTCCATTTGTTCTTATTTTAATCAATAATATTTGATCCACTAAGCAGTCCATATTTAGAAATACGTACATATAGAAAAAATAAAAAAAAGAGAAACAAATATTTGGAATTCGGCGAACATGAATTTTTCTGTAAATACATATATTTTCTACACAAGTAATAGATGTTTATTTACATTATTTACATTGTTCAAATTGATGTCCTCATCTTTATTGTCATATTGATTGTATAGCAATAAAGATGAAGACAATAGTCTGAACAATGAAAATAATGTAAATAATTACAATACCTCAACTTAGAAATATAGATAAATAATAGATATATTTATTTATTAAGCCGACAGATTTTATCACATTAAACATTATTGTTTTAGTGGATACTCGTATCTGAATAGACGCTCCGTTTATTTATTAAACAGTATATTTATTTATTTTCGTCTACATTTCTGAAATATAGAGAAATCTTATTAAAGTAAAATATCCTCAAGTAGAATTCGAACCTGGCCCTCATCTCTTGGAAGAGAGAACTGTCGTGAGATCTGATATGCTCTAATTGACTAAACTGCAAATAATTATCTGAAGTTCAGACTACTGAAGTGTTTCCGTCAACTCGGGGCGCGAATGTCAGTCATTTTCGGCGGTCACACTTGGAATATTTTCCAAAGAACTGTAGAGATTTTAGTGAAGAACAGGGTGAGCGGTTTCACCAAGACATTCGAATTATGGAAGAGCGTTAGCAAGGCCTGTGGTATGTAAACTTTCTCGTTGACCACTGCTGGTACTTGAAACGGGATGCAGTGACTGCCAAAGCACAGGAGGAAGTCCCTAAAAAGATCTTTCATCCATGAATATCTTCTTTTGTGTATTTTTCAGTTTACTATGGCACAATGTGAGATTTCTGTGAATATATCACCCCTAAATTTAGCATTATTTGTTTAATTCAACATGAAAATAAACAGAGTTATAATAGTTTTCTATATATTTCAAGTAAGCGTTTGTATCTTAAAAATTTGATCTGGTTAGAAAAACATGAATATGATTTTTGGATTCAGCGTGAAAAAAAAAACTGCCTTATAATCAATTATTATATATTCAACCTTGAAAACATCACAGGCCGGCGTAATTAGCCGATCAGCCAAAGCTGAATATTACTTTTAAGCGAAAATCCTCTGGTCATAGACTTCGCAAATTCTTACATATCAGTTTTGTTTCCAATCATAAAAAAAGAAATTTTCTAAAGAATTAAGGAATTTATTTAATAATCCGACAGATTTTATCACCTTAAACGTCATTCTTAGTTGAATTCCAAAGATATCTATCTATCTATCTATCTATCTATCTATCTATAGCGATATCTATATATCTATAGCTATATCTATCTATCTATCTATCTATCTATAGCGATATCTATATATCTATAGCTATATCTATCTATCTATCTATCTATCTATCTATCTATCTATCTATCGCGATATCTATCTATCTATCTATCTATCTATCTATCTATCTATCTATATATATATATATATATATATATATATATATAAACACATTATCACTTAGATGTTATTTTCAGTGGATACTAGTATTTGAGTAGGTGTTCCGTATATTTATTAAACAGTATATTTATTTATTTTCGACTACCAGCCTGAATATTCGAGATTTTTTATTAAAGAAAACATGAGCTCTCAGTTGCGTATAATTTCCTGTCAAATAAATGATTATAAAGTATATATGAACGTCTCAATCCTAATGCTATTGTATATCGTATCAATTGATGGTACATTGCTACGTGAAATTGTTCTATACACAGGACGTAGGGCTGTAAAGTTCATAGGCTTATTACGTAGTACTAATAATAGAGCTGTGAAATCTTACATGCATTATTTTCAACTTTTCTTTAATAATAACTGCATTGTTTCTACCCAGGTAAACTGATATCTGTATTTGAGACGATATTTGTTTATGCATTAAACAGTATTCTTATTTATTTTCGACGACCGGTCTCAATATTTGAGAAATCTAAGAAAAATATGGAATCTTCGGAAGTATACAAAATTGGGTTTCCCCAAGGGAAACCATCATCTATCACGGCTAAAGAGAACCTGAAGACTAGTCAAAACCCGAATAATAGTTTTTCAAACAGATTTTACAGAGACTGTAAATCCTTTTGGTAAAAGAATGTCATCAAAAACTGATATAACTACATTCACGCTACGATACTGGTTCCACGCCAGTTTTTTTTTTTTATGTTGGAGAACAAATTATAGTCAGATGAGGCAAAATCAAGAGAATACTGAGGTTGATCAACATGTACGAAGCAACTCTGACGCACAGCAGCCATTAAAACAGAGGACTTGTGTGCTAGAAGCTTGTAACGAAACAAATCTCCTTTCGTCAGTTTTCCATGTTGTTTGATTTTAATAGTCTTCGTAACTGTCTCAGCTAGTTAGCATAGTATTCTAAATTAATGGTGTGACCATTTTTAGATAGGAATGAGTTTATTAAGTCAAATAATCGCCCTGTAATGCCGTATCCCTGAAAAAAAAAAGAAGGCCAGCTTTCCAGACCCTACCAAGTGCTTTACAGATACCTAGAGCTACGGCTCGAGCATCTCCCTTTTTGTCAAGTGCTTGATATATAAACTCAATTATGGTCGTGAGCACGTCAGCGGTAGACCGGATCTCACGGTGAGAATGCAGGCGTTCTAACCACTAACCACTCGCCAATGGTGTTTGCATTGTAATTCTGTATATAAAGAATCCAACGGGTATTACTCTGCTCTCCGTGAAGACGTGAGTAACGAAGCAATTTTATGATATGTCAGACATTCCTTTAATGTTACCTGAATCAACAGACAGCTGAAGAATGCCGGAAACTCCATTAGTCAAAATATTTTGATAATGAAAACAAAGATGAGGATATTCGTCTAGCGGCAAATAATGTAATTAAAATCGTTCATATGGGAATAGTAAATCGTAGATAGATATTTGTTTTAATTTTGTTTTTATAAGTGCACAAAAGTCAGTGTTCGAGAACAAATACAGCAGAATCTCAGCATATTGTGCATCAATATCGAGACATATATATTTTTCTCGGCATAGATTTTTGGCACTTTTTAAATGACTAATGGCTTGTTGTTTGTAAAACAATTTTCAAATCAACATAGACGTTTGTATAAGTCATTCATAGTAAAGCTCTGATTAATGGTATCAACTTTCACTTTTGATTCTCTCTTTCTTTTTCTCCAATTTTGATTATTTTTCATGAACAGATTGTTTGCATTTTGCAATTATTATAGTAATAGCAACAATAAATACATCGATAATTAAAGAAAGCCAAACATTTATCATTGCTCTCGGTGAAGTTAAGTAATATGTTGCCTTCTGTGGCTTAAAAAGATTGTAGAAAACATATATTGCGATTCTTCTAAAAGCAAAAAAAATTCTGTTATCGGGACGTACAGACATCTCCACTCCAATAAAATATTCACATAAACCCTTCGAAAATATTAGCCTTCGTGCAAGGGGAAAGATTTTTTTTCCCCAAGAAAATTAGATCAGGAAAAGGTTCAACGGGACATTTAACAAGTAACAGGGGAATTGCATTATATTTTGTTGAAAAGATGCTTCCATAATTTTCAGCAGCAAATCTATCAGTAGTTCATCGAAAGAAAGAGATTGTCAATATTAAAAAAATAATGCAACTGTTACCGAGAGATTAAGGCAATTAAATGCTTAACATATATATTTAAGTAAATTGTATTAACAAAATTTAGCGGCCTGAATGTCAGGAAAATCTCACAGAAAATGTGTCCTCCGACTCTTGATAACCAGACGATTCCTTCGTCGCTAAATTGTACAGCACGTCAGGCTATATGGTGGTCCCGTGTAGGATACAGGTTCGATTCATGTCGGAGAGCGTATATTTTCTTTGAGTGTTCTCAGACATTCAGGCTGGTAAATGTTGTTAATACTGTTTATTTTAAACAGAGTTTTTACTTCAATATTTCTATCTATAAAAATAAAATATAAACAAAAATTATATTAAAATAATTGTTGGACTTAGTCCATTTCAGCATATATATATATATATATATATATATATATATATATATATATATATATAATAAAAGCACAGTAAGATATATATTACGGTGTTCTTAGCAATTATTTTCATTGAAAATTATATTTTTAAAAAGAAAATACTTCTAATACACACACCACATATATATATATATATATATATATATATATATATATATATATATATATATTTGTTTGAATAAGGGACAGACCACGTTAAGATTCCATGTAATAAGCTATTTCACCATAACCCCTTTAACAGGGTTCTGGATCATCAGACTTTACTTCCAAAAGCTGAAATGAAAAATGAAAAGAAATTCACACGTTTTTACGGACCTCATCAAGTATACGCAAAGTTAACGAAGTGAGGAAGAGAGGTGGGGGAGAGGATATGAGTGTGTCATATGTATCATTTTAGTTTCCCAGTGTGTCGGCTGGATGTTCAAATTTAACGCGTCTCGTCTCTAGATAAAGGTGGTTAAGGGGTGAGCGATAAGGACTACATTAAAGGAAGACGTTACAATGACCCCAATGAATTACACGACATTAATTTATATATATATATATATATATATATATATATATATATATATATATATATATATATATCATTAAAGACAACTGATAAGGTACTACGATGAAGAATTTTCATGTGTTTTCTTTTTCGATCGTAAAGTGTGGAAAAATTGTACAAATGTTCTGCATATCCGAGAGCTTTCGGCTGTTCTGCTAGCCATTATCGAGGATGATTTTTATTTTTTATTTTTAACTGAAAATCTCTGACAAACGCAGGTTTGATTCCTAAGAAATAGCGCATTTTTTTCTTTAATGGGATTTCTCGAATATTCAGGCCACTAGTTGAAGATACATACACTGTTTAATAAATAAATGGAGCTTTTTCTCAATCAAGTGTATCCACTAAAAAAAAGTTTAAAATGATGTGTGCATGTGTGCGTATTTATAAAGAGAACAGGAGACGCAATCCTTTTTGGTAGTAATGAGGATATTTTAAAAAATATATTATACTTTATTTTCCATAGATTTTGCTACACGCGTTTCGGGTCTTGTGTCCTTCATTAGGCGAATAATGGCTGTTTCTCCAAATTATTTAGAGGAATACATTTTTCCTTATGTTTTCTAAAGCTTGACCATTGTCTTTTGTGTGTAGTAGTAATCTAAATTCTTCTTGACTTGTGTAGAAAATCTTCTGCTTAATGGGTAATAAAACAATTCCAATTGGTCAGACAAAGGTGGAAGAATGGAGGTCTTTGTTCTTATGTTTTTATGACCGCTGTCTTATTAAATCTATCTATATTTTTGTGTGTTTTGCCAGTATGTGTATACATATTCCTTCTCCATACATACATATTGTTTTATTACAAGGAAATAATATACATTCGCATACAAACATACACACTCTCTCTCTCTCTCTCTCTATATATATATATATATATATATATATATATATATATATATATATATATATATATTACATACATTTGTATGGTGTGTAGGGTTCGTGTGTGTGTACGTGTGGTCCGCCTAGTCTTTGTTTTTTGCCTGTATCTACGTATATATTCGTTCTCTATACATATTTGTGTATATATTTATATGTGTTTAGACTAGTGTATTCCGCCACTATGTGTGTATTGTATGTGTTTATGTCTGTGGGGTTATAATTTGTTTATTGCTAGCTTAAATTTGTCTATGAAGTTTTTTCTCGTATCTGAAGGCCAGAATAATTGTCTGTTTGATATACTGGCATAATTTTAAAATTACTTTTGTTGCATTTGTAGATGTGCTATGGCATAAAGCGTTTCCTGTTGTCTGGTAATTTAATGTTGCTTTTGTGAAGGAAAACTATTGTTTAGTGCCTGCCTGATAACTATATAGGACTTGTTGCATGTTGTGCAGTTGCGTGCATGAATCACATTTTTGGAGTTGCAGTTTAAATTTTGTTTATTTTTATTGTGAATGTTCTGAAGTGTTTCAAACGTGTTGGAGCTTCCTTCTATAATGATATCACAAACCCCACACCTTTCCTTGTTGCATTTTGTGACCCCCTGTATTGGGTGCTGGATAAATTTGAATGACGTTAATATGCGTTTCAGGTTTTCTTTTTTTTTTTTTGATTGGTGTTTGCTTTTAATTATTTTGGTTGATTTCAGTATATCTTTTCATTTTTCTGATTCTTCTTAAGTAGGTCTCGATTTCTTGTAATTTCTGTAGATACTTCTGGATTGTTCTTGTTGTATGTTGGGATATATGCTAGAATTTGTTCGACGTTGCGCATTTATGGATGTTTTAGTTGGTCTAAAGGCATTTATTCTGCTAGTTCAAAGACTTTTTTTAATTTGTAGTAGGGTAGCCTCGTTTTTTCTGGGTCTTATGTAATTTTTCTAGGCAGGTTTTTCGGAGATTTTTGTCGGCAACAATAGGGCAAATACTACGGGTTAGGGAATAGGGAATGGATTTTAAGC